ATCTGAATAAACGCTGGTATCTCATTTACATTCTGGTATGAAAAGCTTTGGGTGAAAAGGAAAGCGATAGAAAAGTTACTTAACTAAAAATTAACTATTAGTCAAAAATAAATAGATAAATTCTCACAAAGTGGTTAAAGAAATGCTTATCTATTTTTAAGAGCTTCAGAAAAGCAGCAATAAACTAAAAGGCAAAAATCACAAAAAATCAGTTAATAAAATCAGTTAATAAAAATAAAAAAGTACAAGAGAAATTAATTATGCGAAATATCGTTAAGATAATTTGCTTAAATATTAAAATCAACTGAAGTTAAATATATATAAAAATTAATCACACTTTAATGAAAAATAAAAAAAATTAGTAAAAATTACTTTGTATTAGAAGTGAAATTAAATACAGGAATTATCACTAAAAATTTCAATTAAAATTAAATATACACAAAAATTCATTCCACTTAATGTGTGTGTGTGTGATTATGGCAAAGCCTTGAGGGCTATCTGCCTAAGGGGAGGGATGCCTTCGTGGAGGACTTTCTAAGGGAAACTGGCTCGTATACACGTTACACATGGGGAAAACCACGAAAACGCCCATGCAGCCAGCCCGTTTGCGGGATTCGAACCTCGGACCGAACTACCAGTGTTCAGCGACTTTACCGCTCGGCCGCTGGTGGGCTCATTACACTTAAATGTAAAAAATTAAGGGAAATCAAATAAATCAAATGCGTAAAATTAAATCTACAGAAGAAAAATAAATAAAATTCCAAATGAAATCATGCATTAGCTCTTAAAATTTTTAAGATGACAGAGGCGCTTTTTTCACTTAAACAGTATGGCAGTTTCTGTCTTCCACTTGTAATGTGAAATTGCGTTTCGTGTTTTGGTATCTCGCTGAAGAGACATTCTTTACGACTACTGTGTTTCTTCAGCACTGTTTGAGACTCACACTTTTAGCAGTTATCTTTTTCTCCCCAAGCAATAAGTAAGCGAGTACATTTTAGCTGCCAGTCTGACGAATTAGTAAACGGTAATTGGTAAATTCGGAATCCCATTCAATTTGCCTAAGCATTCAATTCGTTTTTTGTTTTTCTAATTGTAGACGGCTGTTCCTTCGGACAGTCCGACGAATCATACAAGTCCAAATATAGACACGTATTTTAGTTAACATAGTCCATTTGTATTGAATATATCACAGAATTTACTATACCAGAGATAAATAACTATACTCTTGATGTATATTCACGTATTTATGTGATTTATAATGAAGTTAGTACATATGGAGTTTGCTTTGGTCCAGGACTTCAAAACCGTCATAAGTGGTCGATTCAACTTATATAACATTTTTCACTCTTTGAATTCCCACTTCGTCAAATATGTTAAACTTCTTGATGGATGTAGCCGCGACGAATCTTTGTGACGTTTTCGTATTATTCACCTTATTTCTGATGTTTTTCTCTCTATATATAAAACCAATTACCAATTTGAATGAATCCTTATAAAATGTAACACTAATTTTCGTCTTTTATTCGATATTAAATTCAATATATATTTTGTTACCAGAGTTTCTGGAGAAAAATTTAAAATTTTGTATATTTTTGTAATTTTTTTATCTTTTTCTCAATAAAATTTAAAGTTCCAAAAATGAACGACATAATTATGGTCCTTTTACAAATTAGTAACTGATTTAATTACTTCTGCCAAGTTTTTTCGTCCTTGACCCATATTTATCTTCAATTGATTTTTCTTAATGATATTTTTCCTATTCAATTTCATTTCTATGTAATTATTAACTGATTTTTCTTGAATTTAAACAGATTTTGTACATCTTTAATTGATTATCCTTAAAGATATTTCGCATATTTAATTTCATTTGCGCATAGTTATATTTCTTAGATATTATGATTTTATTAACTGATTTTTTTTTAAAGTGTGGTGAATTTTTTTACGTATTTGATTTCTTAAATAATATTTGATAAAATTAATTTCTCTTTTATATAATAAATGTTTTTAGACTTATTAATCGTAATTGACATTTTCCCTGTTATTTTTGCATTAATTTAATGCTCTAGTTTAATAATAGGTACTTTGAAGTTTTTTGAAGATTATAGGCATTCCATTGTGGTGTTAACAATTTGGCCTACTGAAAAATTATGATGCATAGACATAGACACTGTATGCATAGACAACAAAGCTATGCATACATTTTTCTATTGCAAATTTCCGGGATAGTCGATGAGCTACGATTACACTAGGTAGTGGTGGATACAGTCCTTAATTTGTTTTAGCTTATAATCATTTATTACCAATAAAACACCAGAGATCATAGGATAGCTGCTTACAACAACTTATCATAGTATTACCCTATAAATTCCTTTTTATTTACCCTCAAAGCAAGTAAACATGTATTTACCTTTATTTTTATTTTATTACCTTTTTTAAAAATTTATTACCTTTTATTTTTTAGCCCCGTAAAAAGTAAACATTTATTTACCTTATACTATTTATTTTTATTTAAAGAGAAAAACAGTATCCTTTATCTCCTTAGCTGAGGATCTGTCTGCGGATTTCCTGCACATTATGCTGGCGAGTTTAAAATTCTGTTCTTGAACTTCCCGTTTAATCCTACTAAATTCCTACTTATATGACTCAGTTCTTGAGTTGAATAAGATTAAAATAATATTTTGTTGAAAACGCAAGTTTATTAAACAACCCACAAAATTTAAAACCAACTTTCGAATTATTTATTTATTTTTAGATTTAGAACAAGAATAATTCTTTCTTCCTTTCTTTTTTTTTTCAAACTAGATCTTAATAAAAGATAAAATTCCGGTAAATCTAATCGCGAATGTAATATACTGTATTCGCGAATGTGTATACTGTATACAAATTGAGCAAATGAAATTATTTACTTTGCATTTAAGGCATAAAACGATTGCAATATCTGCTTTTCGTTGTATAATAATAGGAAAATTAAAATTCCATGTTATGTAACAAATAAAATATGACAAAAGTTAAATATTAAGCTTGTAATAACTTTTTGCTTTAACAAAACAGAAAGCTTTCGTTTTTTTCCTTTTAAGTTAGTTTTTATTATGTTTTACAACTTAATAAAATTACACACATTATAAATAAAAACACTTCAGTTACTATGGAAGATATCGCATCTTACTGGACCCACGTTAAAAAAGAGTATCCAATTTCTTTTGCGGAAATTTTCAATTCATCAGTAGGTAATTCTTCTTGCTGTTATTTAATATTTCACAGACCATAACATCCCAAAGGTACTCCATTGTAATGCAATCCGGCTTACGATGATATTTGGAAACATTTTTCTGAGCATTCGAAGTAAACACCGACGTATTATCCTATTGGAATTCTGTCACTCCTAAAAATTCACCAAATGGTTAAAAATTACCTGCAAAAAAATAAGATGTAATGTTCTGATATTTGGCGATTTCATGTAAAATCCTGAAAAACATTGTTATGGAAATCTAAACCAAAAGTATGACAAATCCTATATTTAGACCCTCACGAGATTTTTTCTTCTTAGATCATAATAGTAATATGAACCATATAGTATTTTTGTCATGTAATATACTTCCAGACAATGCCTTGCTCGGTAGTAAAGGGAATTTCTCTCTTAAAATTCAGGAACATGCATATTACCTTTATTACATCAGTTTACAGTTATTCAATGCATAAGAACTATGCCTTCAATCAAAAGATGTTATTATATTAGAGAAATTATCCAGACTTCAGTTATTCGAATGTATTCCAATAATCTAGATCCAATAATCCTTTTTTTAGACAAAGATTATTGTATTTTAGTTATGTGCTTTTAACTTATAGTTGATTTAAACAGTCAAAAAGATCAAAAATGTATTTTTCAAAGATGCTATTAAAGTAATTTTAGACGAATGTTCATGATATGTAAATCGGTTTACAGCATTCAATAAATATACAGCCCGTAAACATTAATGAAAAATAATAGCATATTATTTACACAATGATATTTGATAAAAAATTTGTGGTATTTATTTAATTATTGCTTTGCCATAATAATTTCCTAATAACAGTCCAGACAAAATATGGTAACGTTGCGTTAATTCTCTATTCATTGTCCCGCAGCTTAGCATAAATGCGATTCATTGCTTTCTGTTAGCCTATCGGTGTAAATCCTTTCTCCTTTGTTTATGAGTATAATTTTTCATTGCTTAATTTTGGAAGCACCCAGTATTTTGTTAAATATAATATTACTTGAAATAAAATGCGATGGATGAAAATGTACAATTTTGTTATAGTAAATATGTATATAGCTTACAGGTGTACTTTATTGTGACGTATTTATACGCATTTATACGTATTTAAACGGGTTTAAATACATATTTAGGCGTATAAGAACGCTTATAGGTGTACTTATTGTGACGTATTTATACGTATTTAAACGGATTTAAATACATATTTAGTCGTATAAAACGCTTACAGGTGTATTTATTGTGACGTATTTATAGCATTTATACGTATTTAAACGGATTTAAAGGATTTACATACATATTTAGGCGTATAAGAACGCTTATAGGAATGTAGAATTTCCGATTATTTGAGATATGTTCCGAGTCAATTCAATAGTTCTGCTATACTTAAAAGGAATATCAAGCAATAATGGTTATTTAACTGTTGTTTAAACATGACAGCGGTTATTTGCTCATCGAGACACCACAATCATCTGGATTTTTTGAATTTCCATTATGGGTTCTATTACATCATCCTTTTAACTCCCTTTTAAACTGTATACGGGGGGGGGGGTTCAGTTGTGCTTACAAGGAATTCTAAATTACACTGATACATCAAATCTTAATCGTTATATGAATCTTTCAGCTAATCTATGGCGGAACAGAATATAGCCTCCTCAATGACTAGGCTTGAATCCAATGACTTGAATAATGATTGCTATAGAGCATGAAATAAGTGCACATTTCTTAAGATAATATAAAATGACAAACTAATAAATGACATATATTTATTACTTTCAGATAACAATATTTATAATATAATATAATGCCAATGCTCAGCAAAAAGTCAGTTATGTACATTTTACAATAAAAATCAGTCTGTTATTCGCATCAAGAAAATGAAGAAGCGAAACAATTTGTGAAATTTCCAGTAAGGAAAATTCAGACTTCGTCAGCACCGTTTTTATAACACAATATAAAATTCATCTTTGTAGGGAAATTTTTACCATTGAATACAATTACATTACAGCCTTAATACAAATCTATTCACATGAATAATGCAAAATTTCTTAAAATGGATGAAATTTAATTCTTGACTTTAAAGGTATTTGTTCCACATATTAATGTATTCATTTTTTTAAATTTTAGAATCATTCTTTCAAATAAAATGCTTAAGAGAGCTGATAATTTTTCTGAAAGAGTAATGAATAATACAGATACGCTGCTTATAGGATATTTCTCCTTAAATAAATAATAATTATAAGAAACTACATTAACATTCAAAACAGTAAAATCAATAATAATAATAGTAATAACTGGATATGTTCTTTTTCTTCTTTAATCGCAAATGTGTTGGAAAAAAAAACTAAATAAAATTAAGTTATTAAATTCAGATACATGCTCTTTAGATTTAAATTACGAGATATATCTATTAACTTGCTTAGATAACTTATGCAACCAAATTAAATTTGTTATTTTAAACTGCAATATATGTAGAATGTTTGGAATATGAAACTTCCACGTTTAAATTTGTTACTATTACTATTTCATAAAATATAATGCGAAGTTAGTAATATAAGTCTTCAATGGAACTTAACAGATTAAAATCTGTAAACTAGAAAACGAGGAAAAACATTTAAATGCCAAAAATTTCATAAAATTCTCAGCATTATATTTGAACAATTAGTTTAACCTGACAGTAATATATGTATAAAGATAGTTTTTAATTTATTCTTTTTTTAAATTCCAGCATATATATTTAAGATAAAAGCTATAATAAAAATGAATTCATAACTATTGAGGGATAGAAATTATATTTTATTTACATTAATTCTCTGCATTCAATATTTAAATTAGTTTTCTGTAACGATAATATTAAATAAGATCCTCATGTTAATTTAGATAGAAATAATTAATTAATGAATCTACTCTTATATAAACTGATCATTGGAAAAATGCTATTAATTTCTTGAGTAAATCACTCATAATATATAATTGATTAATTTTACTTTTATTATATCTCTTTCTTTTTTTTTCCAGAACTTAATAATCTATGTTATTACTTCAATCTGTAGAAATGAATAAGAAATTGTTTGTCAAGGTTTCAGAAAATTTATCAGTTAGTTTCGAAAAAGGTACAGAACAAGTTTCATGAATATTAAACTCTAATAAAGCAAAATATAAATAAAAAATAGGCTTGGCATTCTTTCCGAGCTTTTCAGGCAAAAACACAGCTTGTTTTCGGAGAAATAATATTAACTAAGGATCTAAAACATAATTTTAGTGTGTTATCTGTAATTCAAGCATATTTCTTTTGTTGGAAGAGGTGGAAAGGGGAAATATTTTTGCAAGATAGAATTTATTTTAGTCATAGAAACATTTTCAGTTTGTTTACGACTTTACATCTAGTGGAAAAAAACATAAAATGGGTTTTTATTCGGCATCACGGAAACTTTTAATGATATTTACATTTAGATGAGAATAATACTTAAGCACCATAAAATGCGAAGAGGGGCGTGATAATTTTATGTGACATTTTAAAGGAAAGAAATAGCAAAGAGGAAACAGCTGAAAGATATTTTGACATGTTTAGCGTTGTAAACATAAGATTTCATTACGAATAAATCTTGATTTATTGATTTGATTTCTTACCTTTTTACATTCCTGTTGGTAAAACTTATTAAAATATTTCTATAAAAGTAAGGTTCTGATAAAAATGATGCTGATTACAATATACTGTAATCCAACAGAATTGAAAATGATAAATGTTATTTAATTGATTAAAATTTTTTTAAAATCAGTATGCAATTCTTGATTATTAGATCCTGTCTTAGTTATTTAACTATATTTATCGGATTATGTTTATACCAGAGGATATGTAAGAGTACATATTTTCATCTTTTGACTTCATTTTCAAACAGAAAAAACAGTGAAGGAATTTTAGAAGCAGGATTATGGAAAATACTGCTTTAAGATAATAATTTCGGACACAAAATTCATTCATTTACAAAAAATTATAAAAGCATATTTCTAAAAAAGCAGATAATAAAATCTGAAGACAAAAATACATAAACATTTATACAATTATTTTTTTACATATACAACGACTTTGCTACAGGAGTTCTTTTTACAGACACAAATTAATTTGTGTTCTGAATAAGTCCTTGTCTCCAAAGCACAAAGATCGATTTACAATTTGGGTATTATGTAACACAACAGCTAGACAATGTGTCTTTAATATAGACGTTACAGGAACATCACTGTTTATTTTTCTCTTCTTAGGAACTTAAGCTTTTACAACACCCACAGGTAAAAGCGTCACCGGCTGTCTGAAACTGTCACAAAATGTACAGTTCATAAAACGAAATGCTCGAAATATATACAAAAATTTCATTTAATTGCAGTTTTGCCCTATCAGTGTAGATTACTTTGAAAACAACATTAGTGCTCTTTAACACAATTAAGTTTGGCTAAAGAAGAAATAATATTTATTTATAAGTTTTATGGAAAAAAAAAAAAAAAAAAAAAAAAAAAAAAAAAAAAAAAAAGTTTTTTCACATAGATAAACATTTCAAATTCCTAGTCTTTTAGGTAGTAAACATTTAAAATTTTAAAAGTCTTGGAAATATTTTTGGGCACCATATGCTGTTTCTTGAAAACCACAATATGTAGAACATTAGAAGTACTGCGCATCAAATGAAATATATAAATTTATTGTTAGATTTAAGCTTTAAACTATTTTACTTTGGGATTACTAAATTTAAAAAATAGTAATATTTTCATAATAAATGGTGAAATGCGTAACTAATGTGCGTAGGTAATGAAAATTTAACTTATCGTAATTCAGCACGTTTTGCTGTAAATTATTCATTAAATTCATTATAGCAAGATTTTCACTTATCAATAAAAGACAGAAAAAATTCACCAGTAACTGAAATTTTTAATATACAACTACGTATTTTTTCGATAGACTAAAAACTGGAAACATTTAAATATTTAAAAAATATTCAGTTTTTAAGATGAATTAATTAACTTTTATTATATTAATCAAATGAATATTCAGAACGAATCAATAATAAAAAGTGACGTAAATGAATTAATTTTCGACCATATTAAACAAAATGCATGATTCAAATAGAATAAAATAGAATAAACATTTAAAAGTAAAGAAATTAAAATAGAATAAAGATTTAAAAGTTATCCCTAAGAATTTCCCGGGAATATTTTTTGGAATTACGAAAAAGATTTCAGAACACTGCAAAATGAATTAATGAAATCCTGAATCCTAGCTTTCGGTACACAAATAAATGGATGATTATCAGCAACAACTTGTGTGCATAATCGTTTTGCCATAACCTGTTGCATTATTACATCATAAAATGCTATTTAAAGGTTTCATCACTAAAACCTGGGAAAATCATTCTTCCAGTTATTTTATCGGATTCTCCATCATATGTTGCATAATGTTCAAAATTAAGGATACAATTATATTTACGAGAAAACGTAATATTAGGTTATTTATTAATATTTATCAAAGAAATACGTAATAAAAAGAAGAAGCATTTTGTTAACGTATGTGAGATTAAGAAACACGGATTTTTGCGATTTAAAATTATTTATCTGCTGAAAATAACACTAGCAAGTAATGATAGGAAAGAGTTATTCTTCAAGGTGGCAAGTATTGTTTTGAACTCAGTGCCTGAAATTTTATTTCTCCATATTATATCGTTCTTAATCACGTGTCTGTGACATATAAAAGGGATCCTGGAGACTCTATTCCATTCTGAGAGTCCGAAGCAAGTAAGTCTTGGATGATTGGTCCACTGTTTTGATTTCTGGCCCGGATCGCCTAGGACTTCAAAGAGAAGGAAGTTGAAACCATCTCTGTCATTCAAGGTATGTGGTGGATCTCGGAGTGTTGAGTCTCTTTGTGTCTTCTCAGATCTACTTTTCTCTGGAAAGCTCGTCCACATATTTCGCAGGCAAAAGGCTTGAAACCAGTGTGCTTCCTGCTGTGAGTTATGAGGTTGGAGGATTGGCTAAAAGCTTTGCCACAAACTGCACATTTGTGAGGTTTTTCACCTGCAAAAGTAATATAAATCAAAAACTATATTTTTTCTATTGATTCAAAAATTATTGTTTGATAATTTATTCATCCTAAATACATTATATAAAAATTAATAATATTAAAATGTCTCATAGACAAAATATTAAGTGAAGGTAAATCAGTGATGGAGAACATAAAACATACCATGGAAGAAGTTAGGATCTTAGTACAATAGAGAAGGTATAATGCTAAGATTTTTAGATCGAAATAAAGGCAATTTTTTAGGAAAGAAAAACTAATTATATAGTGTGTTTTAATGGTGAACTAAAATGTTTTCTCTCCTACTTTTGGTGATGTTGCTCTCAATATTAAAACTTTTGCTTTGCCGTCATTCAATATCAATTTGATTTTTATCTTTTCTGCGAAGAATAATTTACATATAGCTTAGAATTTCCCATTTCTACATTTATTATTTGTAATTCTTGACAACATTCTTTTCTCGGCAAAGGACATTTTACTCAGCATATGTTGGAAAAGTTATTGATAATAATAAATATACTTCAGTTCGGTTTTATTACAAAACGACATCTACGGAAAAAATAAATAATTTCTTAATATTTGCTATACATACGTGTCCTATTTTTTACTTAAATAAAAAAAGTTGTAGCCTACATTACATGTTGTAATTTATTGAAATAAAACAAATACGACATTGGGCGTAGTAAAATATTGATATATGTCATTATTAATATTATGTACATTTCGTAATGCGTAAACAAATGAATAATATAAAACAAGGAAATAAAAGAAACAAGTTTAGTAATAAACAGGTTGAATATTGTAAAATTAAACAAAAAGGAAACCTAAGATTTCTTTAAAATGTTTTAAAGAAAATTTTGCTGATTTCAAAGGATATCTTGAGTTTTGCTTCTTCAGAAATAAAAAGAAAATTCTCAAGAATGCGGAAAAATGGCGAAGAAATATAGTTGATGAAAGAGGAAATAATGGTAGCAAAATTCAAGAAAACAAAAACAAAAACAGTAATTAAAGTAAAGAACTGAGATATTACAAATTTGAAAACTTGAAAAAACTGGATTGAAATTAAGGTCATTAACTAAATAAGGCAAATTTTCGTGAATAAGGAAATCCAGCTCATCAATTAAAAAAGCTTGAGATACTTTTAGTATAACTTAAGTTAAAATTACAGTTAAATGGTTAATTATGACTTGTGTCGAAAAAATAGTTATTTCTGCTTTTCGAACATAAGATTCCCGTTTCTCGGTGGGAAATTTTAAATATACTTTTTTAGATTGTTTTTTTGGGCTAAATTTATATTTTATATTGACGTATTTTTTCAATTAAATTCAAATATATTTGACATTGTTTTTAAAATAATAATAATAATAAAAATTTAGATATTTATAATTCAAAATTACTGTGTAGAAAAATTTATCTTTAACGTTGCTTTTTAATTTACTTTAAAATAGTTTTTTCTTTTTAATCATTTTACATATTTTAATAATAAAAGCATTAGCACCCAGAAAGCCTAGTAGAATTTAATTTTATGCTAAGACAAATCTCTTAATTGTTCCAAATTTCATCGTCAAAACTTTTCTTTCATCAATTTCTTCGTCTAAAATTCTTTGTCATTATTTCAAAACATTAAACTTTTGAGTAAAAATCCGATATTTGTATATACCATTAAATATTGGTTCACTTCAGCATTTTATAACAAAAAAATTTAATTGATCTTGAAAAGGAAATATTTTTGCAGTATCTGATAGTATCTAACGATATTAGGTTATGTTAAATGATTGGGAAGTACATGAGAGATTCTAGCTACTTTTGCGAAGGAATTTTTAATTAAAACTGATTCGTATTCATGTTACATATGGAGAATACAACGAAGACATGAGCTCGTTTTAAATTACCAGATGTTATTAGTCTCGGCCGCCAACGCTTGGCTGCTGGTGGATTTAGCATTTGATGAATTCTATTCTCGTTATCGTTAATTAATCGAATATTTTGATTGCTTCCGAAGAAGTTATTTTACTACCGTTTCGCTATTTCGTGCGCATTTCTTTTTTTTTATCACTGGGATTCTCGAGAAATTTCTAAAGAGATGTAATATTAAAAGCTCTTTTGTTCATTTCATTTAAACACTCTTGAATTATTTTATGGTAAAACTCTTCTAAATTCGAAAACAGATATTTCACTACTCCTTCCGAGGTTAAATATGCTGAATATACTCATTTTAAACACTCCAACAATTTCTAATTCACCAATTATACTGCAAGGGCTAAGGCAATAAAAACCAGCTTAATATTCCTAAATTTACAGGACTAATTTCGAAGATTTAAATAGCAGAAGTGCAAATGGCGAAAGAGAAACCTGTCTACCAAGCCCTTTATTTCATCATTTGCACTTCTGTAGCTGAAGAAGGAGGTTCTGTATTTAAACCTTCGTAAACACTACTGCAAATTTAAGACAATTAAGCTGATTTTTGTTGCCATTCAATAATCGTTATTTGGAGTGTTATTTTAACTCAGACTACCAATTATATAACAACAGTTTCATTGAACTGTCTTTCCACTTTGTATCTTTTGCTAAGCAAACTTTTCTTTCTAAAAAATAGTATATCAGACCAAGAGTAATTTTGTTTGACATGCTGCTTTTAACTGAATCGCAATATTCATGTCGTACCAAAATATTTTACAATCCGAAATGAAAAACTCTTTATTTTTTTAAAAATATTTTTTAATTTTAATTATTTTTTTTTGAGAAATCAGAAACTTTACTTAATATTTTTCAGTAGGTATCCAGAAAAAATACTAATTGTTGCTAATTTAAGAGAAAGATAATAAACTTATTACCTAAAAAGATAGGTAGATTAATAAATTAACAACTAAAATGTTAAGTAATAAATAAAATCAGTGATGGTTTTTACAACAGAAATTTCATTTCTTTAATCTGATAGCAGGACGTGAAAGTGCAATTAAAGACAGACTCTTTGCGTGCAAAGAAATGTCAGGCATTGGGGGGGGGAAGATTGCTCAGAATTATTATAAGAAATTGTCTTAAATTTTTTCGAAACTGACTCATGGCTAAATTCTTACTACACATCCAAGTCACATAGCACAGGCAATGTTCCGTATCATTAAACTGTGGTATTAATTTCAAACTTACTTCGCTTCTTGCGAATACAACAGGTGGAGCTGCAAGCCCTTTTAACAGAATGTGATGTAATGAGAAGAAAAGGTAATTGAATTGGTCTCACGAACCGTAATGAGAGGGTAATGTTGTTAGAAGATGCTTAGCACTTTAATAGAATTAAATGTAATTAGTGTAGCTTAAAATATAATTAGTAATTGAAAGTTCAAACGCGTGTTAAAGATCTTTGCTTTCTTACAACGAAATTATGAGACAAACTGTCACAATGATTTTCGATTGAAAAGAATTGAATAAAAAGAGAAGAGACAAATTCTTTGGAGATTTTAGTCTGATAATTTTGTAAATGACCATCTTCGAAAACCGATCTTCTAAGAATTTGCTTATTCAGCTATTTTAACATTAGTAGCTAATTGCTAATCGCTGCCTTATCTCATAGAAATTCTCTCTCTACAAGACTATATGTACTAGTAGCTATAGTTAAACTGTTTTTAAAAAAATTAGATAAATATAAGATTTTGAAAAATATAATATATCAATAAAAATGTAATGCTAAAAATTAGCAAAAATGTAGATATCGTATTTCAACCTCTCCTCCCCCCCCAAAAAAACAGGCAAAAATACATAAATACTCTTTTAAACTAATTTTTCATTTAATAGTCTGTGAATATTATTTTGTAAGCTTTTTCTAAGTAACCATTACATTTTTTAAGCATACCAAGTCTGGCTTCATGCAGACTGATTTATCAATGCCATTAAGTTCGATATTTTCTTCTAATTATTAATTACCAACCTTCTTCACGTAGATTTGTTCATTCTGAAGCCGGTGCAGATCAAAATCTCTTTTCAGAAATGTTGAATTGCAGGTAATCGTCATATGGCACCATTACTTTGCTAGGTGAAGATTATTAAATTCAGTTCGTTAAAAAACGCTTTAATTTACTTTTAATTATTCAGCATTATAAATTCCAAGATCATCAGTTTCAGCAACGATAAATTCTTATCGTACATATTATTTATGGGACTTATTTCAGGTCTTCAAGAAATGAAAACAAATGCGCATTAATTCTAAAAATCAAAACGCTCGTCGCATTAAAAACGTTCAGAGTTTATAAATAACTGTTACTATTTTATGCAAAGCAAGCAATTTCTGAGTGGATGACAATTTAACTGAAGAATTTTCAAATTACTATATCTTTCGGCTTCAAGATATCCTATTCAGGCTCCCTTCTGGCGGTATGCGGTGGGGTATTTGATTTCTAATACATGCTCTTACACCTATGCAGATTGCATGGTATAATTAACTACAAATTTAACATTTTTTTAGTTCTCGAAGATTTTCGAGACTTTTGAAGCTTGAAATTAAATATCAGAAATGATAATTACTTGTATTACATTTGCGAAATTCGGCCAACAAAACGCAATCAACCAGCCGTAACAAGTTTCTTGACATAAGAATGAAATATTTTGTTGCCCGTTCTTCCGTTGCTATTCGAAAACTCAGTTAATTCTTTAAACCTTTAAAGACTAGTAATTCTTTCTCTATGTCTTTAAAATGTCATGAATATTAAGTAATACAAGCTATAATAAAAACGCACTTTGTTTAATTAATATAAATAGTTATTTTTATGCTTCATTTTATGAGAACACTTTCAAAAATTTGCTGTCATATCTGTAAGATACGGCTATTTTATAGTACTTTTTTTATCATTCATTGGATTTAAAATCACAATGCAGTTTGTTAAATTTCATTTTAACAAATAAGAAATTAATCCCTTATAAAATCAACTGCGCAAATTTGTTAATTTTTTTTTGTAATTAAAAATATGTTAAATATAAAGTAAACGAAGTAGAAATCAATATATTT